ATTTAAAAAAAAGCAGCTCAATATAACGAACTAGGAAAACATAACTTAAATACATTAAAGTACACTTTTGAATCACATCTAAGGAACTTAAATTAGTATTTCTTCAACAATTGCAAAGCACATTTTAAAGCAGCCTATGTAGTATTTACCTACTATAAAAACTAACAAAGTATGTCGTAATGCTATAAACTATAATAAAAAGTGAGATAAGATTATCTTTTTACTGCTGATAATTTTTTATTACTATGATAAAACTATGATCCCCAAAAGAACTTTCTCTTCATATAACATATAGTAAACTATGACACATTTTCTCCTGATTTATTTTAATAAACAGAAATCAACTGCCTGGTTAAAGACTTTATAATTACAAAGAAAAAACAGGATACCTCTCAATATATGTGACTCAGTCACTCTCCAAAACAAAAATCCTTCAAACTGAGCTGTCAAGGCAGAAACTATTTCAGAAAATAGCTGCAATCAATCTGATGTCCTAAACTAGTTATATTTAATATGGTCACCATACCAACATATAGTCTCTTAAAAAGACAAGTTCTTTAAAGAACTATCACAACTTTTTCACATGCTACTCAAAGTATTTAATTAAATAACTGTTATTTGTCATATTCCTGAGCAGCTCTTCCCTTACAATTTAAAAGAGAACATTTTCCTATTCTGGAAAAAGGGTTGTTTCTCAACACATTTTAATCACTAACTGCTCTCTTTCGTGTACTAATATCCCCATCTGCTGGAACATGCGTTCCTTACTACTAAAAGTTCTTAATGACAAAAAGTTTGCAGTAGAGATTTTGCAACTACTGAAAAATACAATTTTAACCTATGAGGTTTCCTCCACTTCATAGGACTTTAAAAGCTTTAAAGATCTGTATATTCTTTTACTGATATTATTCAGAAGAATTCACTAAATCGAAACATTTTGCCTGTCATATTCTTTTTTCCCTACCCTTCATACTTAATTAAGATACAAAGCACTAGCCTAAACAAAACAACCACCTCCTTATAAGTTAACCATCTTTTTGGATCATACTGCTGTAACACACACACACACACACACACACACACACACACACACACACGATTTTAAAATATATGTGTATTTTCCATTTCTGCTGAGCATAGGGTAAAAGCTAACAGAAGCAGTAACTACAACAAAGGAACACAGCTAATAAATGACAGCATCAAAAAGTCAAAAACAAGATTAAGTAGAAATTAAAAATTAGTATAAATGAGGACCACCCTCCCAAAAAAAAAAAATTGTCATCAACCAGAAGAATGGTGGGTCACTGGCCATATCTATTATTTGTAACATGTCTAAAACAAATCTATAAATTTTAAAGACAGTTTTACTGTTATTAGTAATATTATTAATTTTATTATTTTGAAAGCATTTTCCTTAATATTGTAGAATAAAGCAAGTAAGTATGTCACCATCAACAACAACATTAATCTAGTCGTGGCTGGCAAAAAAAAAATAAAGATATGACTATGAAATTAAAATGTTAAAATCGAATTGAAAACATAAAAACGAATCAATTTTAAAATCAGTATTGTCTATAGACAATGGCTCAGAAGTAATCACATCCTCAGATTAATGAACATGTTTAACACCTAAATTCAAGTCTTTAATATCATCCTATCAGAGAAATGGCCAAGTCTAGCTCCAGAACAGGCAAGGCACAAGGGGGGCTTGGGGCATAACTTTTCTACATGCCCAAGAAAAAGTTGCCCCATAGAGCAAGTAGGAGTTCAACAGATAAAGGAGACTATCACTAGCAAAAGTTCTAGTAATTTTAACATCAAAATTATCACTAAAGTTCTAATAATTTTAACATCAAAATTAATTATAGTTTACTTAAATACGCTGAATCTATGAAATCCATGGGGGTATAAAGATGATTAGAAAAGAGAAAAAATTAATTGGTCTCCATTTGAGGCAGCTAGCAAACCAACGTTTTACTTTGAGAACAAAATAATAGGCAGCAGCATCTATCTGGCTTGCCCCATTAGACACTTACTTCAAAACAGCAATATATTTCCTTGTTGGTGTCAGAAAGCTGTACCTTTCAAAGAATGCCAAGTAAATGCAGAAAGAATGGCAGAATTAGAATATCATCTGGTGCAAGCTCTAATGAATCTGATTCAGGCAAAAATAAGCAACTGGTTAAAGTCATGGTATGAATGTTGATGGGGCAACCTAATATAGTGTCTACCTTCTGGTTCCAAGAGGAAAAAAAAAATCTACCTTTAAAATACAAGGAGCCATCTATCACCACTCTAATCCAGGTATCAATCTTTGCTTCTCTGATGGTTGAACCAGTTACTGTGCCTCCTGATTTATTATTGTGCCTGTTCTCTAGTGTAAGATGCTCTACTTGAACCTACTCTAGATCTTCCAATGTAATAGATAGACACACAGGGCATAAAGGAATAAGTCCTAAACAAGGAAGTTAAATCAATGTCATTAAAAAAAAAAAAACAGAGCGATGGTTCTAGGTTTGAAAAGGCCTAACAACCAGATTTAGTGAGTGGTACTGAGTAAGATTCTGGTTTGAACAATCCAGCTATAAAGAATATCTGGGGATCCACTAAGAAATCTGAATATGGACTGGTTGTTGCATTATGTGTAGGATTAACCCATCTTGTTTGGTGTAATATCACTATGTAGGAAAGCATTAATTTTTAAAGATACACAAATATGTATTTCTTTAGGGACAAAATGTCAAGATACCTCTTTTACTTAAAATAACTAAACACAAAAATTAATACAATTAAATTTTAAAAGTCCACATCAAACTTGGTAAAACATATTTAATCAACCTCTGAAATTCAGACAAAATTTTCTTCAAGAATTCCTAAGATTCTTCCCATGAGTTTCTTAAACTGTCTTTAGCTCATATAGAAACGAAAGCTCAAGGTTGGGCACGGTGGCTCACATCTGCAATCCCGGCACTTTGGGAGGCCAAGGTGGGAGGATCACGAGGTCAGGAGTTCAAGACCAGCCTGGTCAACATAGTGAAACCCCATCTCTACTAAAAATACCAAAAAAAGAAAAAAAAAAAAGGAAGAAAGAAATGAAAGCTCAATTCTCTGAGTTACTAAAAACTGGGCTGACACCTAAACAAATGAGTCCCACATGTTCTCAATCCTTCAGTACGAATATACTAACCTGTAAGTAAGGAAAAGACTGACTTGTTCGTTTCTACCTAAAACATTTTTAAAAATCTGTAAGGAGTTTAAAATACAGAAAATTCAATATAAATATTTTATTAATACTATTTTGAGAAAATATAACTATTAAAAAAATTTTCCTAATGGGTTAACCACACACAATAGCTTGACTCGTCACACTGAATTCAATGTCTACTTTAAACTGGTATATATTCTATACATTCTCATTAGTTTATCCACAAAGTGTTCATTCTGACACCTCAAAATAACCCAAGCCTTAAAGATTCCTTACAACCTTCGGAATAAAATTCAGACTACGTATTCTGGCCTTCAAGGCCCACCACAATCCAGCTCTAACCGTCTTCTCACTGTAGTCTTCTGTTAATTCCCACTACTTCGATCTGTGCATGTGCCATTCCAGCTAACTTAATCTGTACATATTTCCTGACTAAACCTTGCAGTCTCCCATCACCATGGTGCTGGCACTGCTGTACCTCCTATTTACCTCATTAAATCATACCAACTGTTAATACCGACTCAGGTTCCACTTCTCAAACGTATCTAGACAGTTCAGCTCAAAGTGACTTCCTCTAAACTACCAGAGTGTTAAGTGATTCTCGTGCACATTAAAACTGGCTGAACCTAGATAGCTAAATTACCTTTCTCTCTTTTTCTTTACTTATTCTCTAAAAGCTGCTTTGCTTATCTAATTGTTTATCATAAACAATTTTAAAATGTTGACAGAAAGCAGATGATGCTGCTACTTTATAGTATGAAAGACTTCCGAATACTCATGAGTTTCAGAGTATTTGGATTTAAGATTGGCAGTGCAGTTGATAATTTCATTTACAGATAAAGAAGCTGAGGTTCAGAGAGGTTATCTCGTCCAAGATTGCCAAACTAATTAGTTAACTGCAGAGTCATGATTAGATCCCAGGTCTATAGTACCGAACACTCACCAGTTCACCACAGGGTCTCATCAGCATATGCACAAAAACATAAATTCATTTCATCTTAATGCTGGCTCATGCATGTACATGTGCACTTGCACACATACAGAGTTAAAACTTGAATACTCTCATGACAATGGGGGCATCACTGCAACCCTGGTGGAACCAGCGACAATAGTCAATTAGGTACAGTATCAGGGTAATTTTTTTGACCCTGGTTTGAAAAATCTTTTTTTTAAATAAATGCATTCACCTGCCATGTAACAACCGTATCAAAGGGATACAATTACTGTGATACAGCAAAGAACCGGGGCTTACATTTAATTTCTTTGCATTATTTGAAATGAGCAGTCAATCATCCTCCAGATGCTGGCATCAAGAATATGATGTGGTAGCTACATGGTGCAGCACTGTTTCCATTCAATTTATAACCATCCACCTCCTGGGTGTCACTCTTCAGTTACCTACCTTATATAACTGGGGGGCTGTTTACCCCATGCTGATCTAAAACAGACACAAGTATACATATTCCTGACTTGAATCACTTTGCAATAGTATACTTCTATATTAAGTCACCTAATCAAAAGTTTCCTCTTGAGTAGTTAGTGAAAATAATAGCAACGACATTATTAAATACACCCAGATTTATTTTTACTATATTACTCAAAAAACTGAGGCTCTAGCCTTTGCTTACAAAGAAGATTAAGTGAATGAACTGAAATCCTCTAAAAATGCCTTTCTCACTTTTAGCCTCTTAATTAAAGTTATCATTAAAAATAAATTCTAAGAATCTGACCATCATTTGTTCAAGACCAGCATATCACAGAATTAGCAAAAAACTATTTGCTTTTTCTTCTTTACCTTCACAACTTGAAGCAACGCAGCAGCTTTTTAAAATACGGAAATATTCCAGGTTTTTCCTTCCAGCTCCCCTTGTGGAGAGGCACACCACAAAACGAACCAGAGGGGAGAAGTGAGTGTCTTGCTCCAGAGCTCTGCTGCCAAACTTGCCTTGAGACATAGGCAAGACACAACTGCTCCAGATCTCAGGCTCTGCACCTACGAATATACCCCCAACTCTCAAGTCCCCTGTAGCTTTAAAACACAGCACTCTGATATAATCTGCAAGATAATTTTGAGAACCAATAAAATTATGACATTGAAGGTTCAAAATTTTAAAACTGCATGATTTTTTTTAATCATGCATTTTCCTAATTCTACTCTTAAAATGTACTAAATGTCTTCTTGGGTTTTTTTTTTTTCCCTTATATATTTCAAACCATAAAATTAGCTTAAAAGCCAAGGGCTCCCCAATGATTTGCTACCAACCAGGAGGTCATGCCCAGTCTTTACAATGGCCCGCCCTGCACTAAAGCAAAAAACAAGGTGCTTACTTAAGGCCTGCTACTTACTTATTCAGGCCCCAGGCCAACCAGATATTTCATCATTTCGAAAACCTTTCTCAGCTAGAACTTAACCAGCCCCAGTACTCACTCTCAAAGATTTCATAAAGGCCAGCTCACTTTCACTGCACGTCTTCACTTACGGACATTAAGTATCTGCACACACAGGCCCTTTACTTATACTGTGATCATAATGTGGTGCCACTTGATGGATGTAACTCCATTTTGATGTTTTGTTTTTGTTTTTTAAGACAGGGATTCACTGTTGCCTAAGCTGGAGTGCAGTAGCACAACTGTAACACTGCAGCCTTGACCTCCTGGACTCAAGCAATCCTCTCATCTTAGCCTCCCAAGTAGCTGGGACTACCACACCACCACACCCAGCTAATGATGCTCTCACACTTCAATATCTGATTATCTACTAAGCAGAATACGACAAATTTTGCTGATCATAAATAATGTGTTAGAAACCTTACAGTCAATTGATTCATTTCCCCAGCCTCAAAATTTAGTTCTACAAAAATGTAAGACTATATGAAGCAATATTATGTACATAATTTATCTTGTTAAGACTTGATAGGATTGCTGGATTTTCAAACTAGAGTTTCCACATCAACAAACTGAAGAAATGATAAAAACATTAAGTACAGCCATTTTCTTGCTAATTGTAAGAATTCTAGATAAATCACTTCTGCAATATATTTTTTAAAAATTCATCACAGATTTTCAAACACTGTTACTGCTAAAACACAGCAACAGACATTTTAGAAATAAATGAGCTAGGCTGGGTAAGGTGGCTAACGCCTGTAATCCCAACTTTGGGAGGCTGAGGCAGGTGGATCACCTGAGGTCAGGAGTATGAGATCAGCCTGGCCAACATGGTGAAATCCCATCTCTACTAAAACTACAAAAATTAGCAGGGTGTGGTTGTGAGCGCCTGTAATCCCAGCTAGTGGGGAGGCTGGGGCAGGAGAATCGCTTGAATGCAGGAGGTGGAGGTTGCAGTGAGCCAAGATCGTGCCATTGCACTCCAGCCTGGGCAACAAGAGCAAAACTCTGGCTCAAAAGAAAAAAAAAAAAAAAGCTAAGTTTCAGTTCACTGAAAGCTTCAATTTATCAGTTTTCTAAGTAATGGCACTGTTTAAAATTAAAGACACCTGTGTTTAAAACAAATAGCTATTTGTGTTAAATGACAATCAGCCATATACTCAGCTTTCTCTTAAACTAAAATCATTAAAATATAGGCCTTATTTATCCTGAACACATCAAAGTGGCACTTAGGGACAAGAAATCTCCAATCTATGGTGTTTTGCATGGAGTACAAGAACTATATTTATGCGGAATTTGAAAAGGGTAACTAACTGGGGGGAAGATTTACCTATGTAAGTCCATAAATGCCAAAATTTTCCAGAGCTGAGATGAGCACTGGGAGTTTTTCTCTGTTTATGAATTGATACCTTTTGGTATAACAACTGGCAAGAAACTACACTGCTTAAGTAAAGCAATCTTCTCTTTCTAAATCTCCTTCCCAACAATGACAGTAAAGTAAAATAAGCACCTTTGATGGCAAGTACTACAAATAACATGACACTTTTTTAAAGTTATTTTTAAGAAAAAATACAAGTGCCTTTTCCTCGAATGGCACAAAACTATCTCCAATCACACAATTGCTTCATTTCTTAAAATTATTAGACAATATTTCTGACGTCACCTCTGGGTTTTCTTTGATTCTTTGAGAAACTAAAAATCAAAAAATGATGTTAAGATGTCAACATGTTTAATTCAACAAACATCTGAAAGTGTACATAGGCCAGGTTCTAAGGTAGGCATCTTCAAGAAAGTAATTTTTATACGGCAAATAATTACATTCCAATGCTAACTATAATGATCTCTCCATAGAAAGTAGTACCCTACACAGACTGGTTATATTTATAAACAAATTTCTTAACAGTCCCACTAACATAACAAACTATATTCACTATAAAAATTTGCTGTTAGTTGTGCTTTTCTGTTAAATGAAAAGAACACTGTAAAACCCTTACCTGAACATCAAATAATCTAGCTATTTTGGGTCCCAAACTGATAATGCCAATTTTCAAAAGGGATATAAATATTCCCTAAAAGTTATCATTAAGGAGAAACAACACATTACCGCACTTAAAATTCACATCAAGCTGTCTTAATGTGAAATACAGCGGAGGTTGGAGGAAAAAATGAAATCCTGTTGATCATGTAAATAAAAAGCTGGTATATATCTGTATGACCTCCTAACATAGGCCCACTCACCACCCCCATCCCTTGGCCTTAAAATAGAACCTTGGATATGTTCGTCTAACAGCTGACATACCAATAGCAGAAAGTTGCTCAGTGGGCTGCCTTTTAAGTTATCAACAAACAAAACCCAACAATGTCATAGCATTTTCCATCTCCAACAAAGAAGAGCAAGTTTTGCTTACAACTGTAACATCAAATAAATAAATCAAACAAATGTATTAGCTACACTGAATTTCTCAAGTAAATTAAATTGTAGTTCCAGTCAGTTTATAAAAAGTTACCCCAATGATCACACTGGTGTAATTAATTTCCTTGATATCAAACCCAAACCGAAAAGCAAAGGACACCAAAAAACAAAAGCAAAGCCCTTACATGTCTAAGTATATTGGTCTCAAAAACAAAAATCTGAATCATGCTTCAGTGAAGGCCAGGTCAAAGCATGAGTGTTTCATTATACTTCACTTCTTTTGCCACAGAAATCTATTTCCCTGAAAAAGGAAAACAAAAACTATTTGTTCTTATGGGAAACTGACCAATTTCAATCAGCTCCAGGACAGTGACAGTGACTAGTGAGGCAATAACAGAAATAAAATATGCATACAGCATTTAAGAAGTCAAATTAACTTGATTTAACTTGACATTCTCAGTCATGTAAGAAAGTGTTCATCCCAAATATACTAGTAAATGTGACTAGCAAAGAGACCTATTTCTATCAACTCAAGTGTGTTACAGTCGGATACAACTTTTACTATAAAACATGTAAACTGGATAAAGTTTAGGAATCACCTTTCACCTACAGGGGAATTTAGTTTTAAAAGTACAGAATGAATGTTTAATAAATACCCCATGGTGATACAAACAAGCTTTTCCATTACTGCCAATATATAGCTGGTGACACCTCCTGGGTGAGAAAAGATCATGGAAAGAGGTGATTATAAATAGTCGCTTCCTTCTTACTACAACTAATTCAAGGGCTTGTGTACAAAAGCAAAATCTTAGTTCCTAAAGAACAGATTATTTCACCTTAAGTAAAATCTGTTTGTTACAGGTGATTACTGACAACAATAATTGCTTCTTCAGACAAAAAGAAAACCTTTTTGTAAGAAATCTCCATAGCAAGAGACCTCTAAATATCAACAACTATATAATTTTTAAGTCAAAGCTTTTGTAAATGAGCTGTTTCTCAGAAAAAAAAATCGTAAGAAAACAGTAAATACATCCAATAATTATGGCAAAAGAAGTGAAAATAAATATTAACATGAAAAAATGTCAACTATTAAAGCAAGTTTTAACAAAATATTTTTATTCATATATTTAAAAGAGAGGGAGCAGGCAGGTTAGAAACTAAACTGAGGTCAGAAAGGATATTTATTATAAAAACAAACGAAAAGACCATCTAAAAATGAAAATGTATTTTTCGAATCAGTAATGAGGCATTCTAATCCATCTGCTCTCTTTTTCTGAGCCACACGCTAATTTTTCTGATAAAAAGATTTAGGCTGTCCTTCTTCATTACACATTTTTTATTTCCATATTAGCTAGTGGTTTTAACCCCTCCTCCACCTAAAAAACTGAAAACTCAAAATCTGCTTTTAAGATACTAATTCTCCATTTTCTCCTAATTCAGTATTATTAAGTCTAATAGACTGTACTCTTTACCTCCTCAATTCTAAATTATAAAACTTTATTAAGACCATTTCCATTCAACTACTGTTGTTTCAGTTTCATGAAAAAGATTGGTTTCTTAAAAACTATGTATTAATTGCTCAGGGTTCAGTTGAAAACTTCTCTTTAAAGGTAGAGCAGTTTAAGACCTAGGTTTTATCTGTAATCCTGTAATCATCTCTACCTTCAATAAAAGGTTTCAAACTCAAGTTTATGTCCTTCATATGATGGGCCCAATCTAGAATGTATTTACAACTTTAAAAAACAACCATGTTGAAGATACTTGAGTGGAAGAGCTGGTACACACACCTCCACGACCCGCAACAACAAAAAACAAAACAAAAACAAGCAGTAAAACAAAAGGACTGTCCATAGTCAAGATACAGGCTAAAGATTAATTTGGCAAGGAATCAAAATACTCATTCTAAAACATTCAAGTCTTCATCAACTAGGAAAACCAACACAATCCACAAATTTGTAACTTGCCAAATGGAAATTCGTAAGGTGACAAATTGTTTAAAAGCTTATTCTTTGAAAAATATTTTAAAATAAATTTAAAAGTCTCATTTGAAATTTCTAATTATCAGAAAATACAACTACTCTTAAGTATGTTAACTTCATTAAGCCAATCACTAAAGTAAAATTTTTACTAAATGTTATCTAAATTTAAAAGTAAGTTTTCAGCCAAGCATTACAGGCAAGAAACAAAACAAAAAGTAATGCCTAACCAGAAACAGGAGTCATGATTAATTTGTTTAGGACAATGACAAACCACAAAGGGGTAAAGCACAAGTTGCCAAATTTCACAATCAAATCATCCAGAAAAAAAAAATGTGATGGACTTCAGAAACCAATATTTTTCCTAAGTCAAATTAAGTTTATAATAAGGCTAACAATTACAGGAAACAGCTTATTCCACACTAAGGAATAGCCCTTTTTCCTGCATGTTTGTACTGGTCTGATAAAAAAACAGTCAAACTTCCTTGTCATTATATTGCCCATTTTAAACATACTATCTGCCATACAGAAACAATCTTTACACGGGGAGTTGACAAGGCTAAAACTAGAGTAATATGAGAGATGGAATAAGCCACATTACAAGGGGAAGGGGAAACAAACATAAAGAGATTTCCTCTCGGTCTCCTACATTTTAAACTCAAACGATTACTATTGCCAACCAGAAAGAAATACACCTTGGTTAGAAATAGTGACATAATTCAAATTTCTGGTTTTGAAAAAATTAAAAATCATTAAAGCAAAAGGTTAGAAACTTGTTAACAAAAAACCATCTCTAAATTATGAAGAGATTTTAGATCAACATAAAAGCACAAGTGAGAAGCCCTTTC